AGCCCTGGAGTTGGAGGTTGCTGTGAGCTGTGATGCCACAGCACTCTACCCAGGGCAACAGCTTGAGGCTCTGTCTCAAAAAAAAAAAAAAACTTCCTAGAAGGGCTGCGCCTGTAGCTGAGTAGGGCACGAGCCCCATATACTGAGGGTGGCGGATTTGAACCCAGCCCTAGCCAAACTGCAACAAAAAATTAGCCAGGCACTGTGATGGGTGCCTGTAGTCCCAGCTACTCAGGAGGCTGAGGCAAGAGAATTGCCTAAGCCCAAGAGCTGGAGGGTGCTGTGAGTTGTGATGTCACGGCGCTCTACTAAGGGTGACAAAGTGAGACTTTGTTTCTAAAAAAAAAATTTTCCCAGGTGGCACCTGTGGCTCAGAGGACTCCACTGGCCCTATATGCAGGAGGCGGTGGATTCAAACCCAGCCCTGGCCAAAAACCACACACACACACACACACATATCTTCCCTCAAAGACAAATCCAAGCCCAGATGACTTCAAAACGTTTAAAGAAGAAATAACACTGATCTTATACAAACACTTTCAGAAAATATAAGTGGAAAGAAGACTTTGCAATCTATTTTTTTTGTCTTTAAGACAAAAAATGTCTACCCCTGTCATCCAGGCTGGAGTGCAATGGAACAATTATAGCTCACTGCAGCCTTGAACTCCTAGGCTCAAGTAATCCTTCTTCCTTTACCTTCTGAGTAGCTGGAACATTAGGCATTCACAACACTTGGCTCATTTCTTATATTATTTTTTTAAAGACAGGTTCTTGGTATGTTGCAGGCTATTCTTAACCTCCTGACCTCAAGTGATCCTCCTACCCTTCCCTCCTAAGTTCCTGAGAGTATAGGCATGAACCCCTGCACCTGGTTCCACAACCTATTATGTGAGGCTAGAGACCAAAGTGAGAAAAAAATAACAAGAAAACTTCAGTTCCAAATTCCTCACAATAGGAAACTCTTATGAGGAAAACTTAACAACAGTAGAGGGCATGGAGCAGGTCCGTTGGCATGAATAGCAAATTCAGCTGTCCACAAGAAGGAAGCACCTTCAGAGGAACCAAATTATCAGGTTAGCAATTGCAGAACCTGGTTTTAACCTATGAAGGAAAGAGCCCCTAAAGAGGGCAAATAACAGTCTTGCACAGCCTATGCCACCCTCCCTCCATTCTCTGGCAGTACCCCAGCAGCATGCTATATGGAGAGAGTATCTGCTTGCTGGGGGAGGGAGTGTGAACTGATTATGGGACTTTGCATTGGAACTCAGGGCTACCCTGTCACAAGGGAACACAGCCCAGGGCAGCAGTTAGACAAGCCCAACCAGAGAAAAATCCTTTGCCCTGCTGACAAAAAGCAGCCTGGGGCCTGGAGTAAATTGGTAAGGCAATCAGGCCACAGAGGCTGTGTTCCTTGGGCAAATTCCTATGGCTGTCCTGGCTTTAGAACCAGTGGACTTGGGATGTGTGTGAGACACTAGCTATGACAGCCAAGCCAGTGCCTGTGTCACCCCTCCCCCAACCATAGGCAGTATAGGTTAGGGACAGTTGTTTTCCACTTGGGGAAAGGAGAGGAAAGAGTTCAGAGGACTTTGTTTTGCAACTTGGGTACCAGCTCAGCCATAGCAAAATAAAGTGGCAAGCAGACTCTTGATACCCCTGCTCCAGGCCTTAGTTCCTGAATAACATTTCTAGACCCATCCTGCACCAGAAGGAAGGACCTAGTCCTGGCAGGATTCTCCACCACTAGAAGTAGCCAGGCTGGCTCGGCGCCTGTGGCTCAAGTGGCTAAGGCGCCAGCCACATACATCTAAGGTGGCGGGTTCAAATCCAGCCCAGGCCTGCCAAAACAACAATGATGGCTGCAACCAAAAAGTAGCTGGGCATTGTGGTGGGCACCTGTGGTCCCAGCTACTTGGGAGGCAGAGGCAGGAGACTCGCTTGAGCCCAGGAGTTGGAAGTTGCTGTGAGCTATGATGCCTCGGCACTCTACCCAGGGGGATAGCTTGAGGCTCTGTCTCAAAAAAAAAAAAAAAGAAGTAGCCAGGCTGCAGTCACTACGGAGCTTTAAGTGAGACTGCAACTGGTTTCAGGTGTGACTTGCTACAGTGGCCATGAGGAATTATCTGCATCACACCTCTCCCAACTCCAGCAGCCCCAGTACAAAGAATGAGGGAAGAAAGTGAAAGACTTTGCCTGGTGATCCAGGAAATTCTCCCATCTCTTACCCAAGTCCACCAAGGTGGACTCTACTAGGAGTTTGCAAGAGTCACAGCATTACTGTGCTTGGGGTACCCAGTGCTAATATGCCTGCAGTGACAAAGAGTTAGAACCCAACAGGTAATTCCCTCTGAATATCTGGAAAGCCTTCTCAAGAAGAATTGGTTTGGGCTCGGCACCCATAGCATGGTGGTTACAGTGCCAGCCACTACACTGAAACTGATGGGTTCGAACCGGGCCCGAGCCAGCTAAGCAACAATGATAACTGCAACAACAACAACAAAAATAGCCAGGCATTGTGGTGGGCACAAGTAGTCCCAGCTACTTGGGAGGCTGAGGCAAGAGAATCCCTTAAACCCAAGAGTTTGAGGTTGCTGTGAACTGTGACACCACAGCATGCTACTGAGGGTGACATAGTGAGACTCTGTCAAAAAAAAAAAAAAAGAATTGGTTCAGACAAGCCCAGACTGTGCTGATTAGAATAAATACCTGACTCTTCAATGCCTAGACATTGATGGCCGTCCACAAACATCAAGAACCCCCAGGAAAATATGACTTCACCAAATGAAGTGACCAATCCTGGAGTGATGGAGATACGTGCCCTTTCAGACAATTCAAAATAGGTGTTCTGAAGAAGCTCAGTGAACTCAAGAAAACACAGAGAAGGAAACCAGAATATCATCAGAGAAATTTAACAAATAGATTGAAAAAATAATAATAAATCAAGTAGGTGGGTTGGTGGGTTCACACCAGAGCTGGCAGGTTCGAATCCAACCCGAGCCTGCCAAACAACAATGACAACTACACCAAAAAATAGCCGGGCACTGTGGCAAGCACCAGTAGTCCCAGGTACTTGGGTGGCTGAGGCAAGAGAATTGCTTAAGCTCAAGAGTTGGAGGTTGCTATCACACCATGGCACTCTACCCAGGGTGACAGCTTGACACTCTGTCTCAAAAAAAAAAAAAAGTTTTAGGATGAATTTTAGTCACAGTACATTGAATATATGATTATTCTTTAAAGCTGCCGTTTTTCTTTTCTTTCACTTTCCTTTTCTTAAGGGCTTACGGCAACCAGCTCCTTTTTCTGATGAAATTGAAGTTGACCTTAGTAAACCATATGTCAGGGTGACTATGGAAGAAGCCAGGAGAGGGACTCCTTGTAAGTAAACACCTACTTAATTATTTTGTTGTTTTACTACTGTTATTAGCTTTCCATTGTATTTATCAAATACACACTACTTCCTATATACTTCCTTCAGTTTACTTGTGCAGTCTAGATGGATTCCTCCCATCTGCCTTGATGTTCTGTTTAGAAGGGTAATTCCACTCTAAATGAATTTTGTTTTTCTTAGTTTCATATATTTATTTTCTGGGATATTATCATAGCTGTGAGAGATAATGAAGCAGAAACAGTAATATATTAGCCTGAGCTGGGTTCTAATCCTCTCTATTTTTACAAAGCTCTAAATAATAGCCTTCAGAATTTTCCCCACAGTCTTTCTACATTCTGTCAGCTATAGTGCTGCTGACTGATGGAAGACAAAAATATCCCAAGTTGGGAAATGCTTATCACTTAATTTTCCAAGTTTTAAAAAATACTTGATTTAAGCTGGGCATGGTAGCTCATGCCTATAATCCCAGCGCTTTGGGAGGCCAATGTGGCAGGATTGCTTGAAGCCAGGAGTTTGTGACCAGCCTGGGTAACATAGCAAGACCCCTTTGCTACAGAAAATTTTTAAAAAATTAGCCAGGCATGGCTATAGTCCCAGATACGCAGGAGACTGAGGAAAGAAGATTGAGGCAAGGTGCAGTGGCTCATGCCTATAATCCTAGCACTCTGCGAGGTCAAGGAGGGTGGATCGCCTGAGTTCACAAGTTCAAGACCAACCTGAGCTAGAGTGAGATCTTGTCTCTAAAAAAAATAGCTGGGCCAGATAATTTGAACCTAGGAGTTTAAGGCTACAGTGAGCTATGATTAGACCACTGCATCCCAGCCTGGGATGACAGAATAAGATACTGTATCTTAAAAAAAGAAACAAAATCTTGCTTAATTATTATTATTATTTATTATTATTTTTTTTGAGACAGAGTCTCAAGCTGTTGCCCTGGATAGAGTACTGTGACATCATAGCTCACAGCAACCTCCAACTCCTCAGCTCTAGCTATACTCTTGCCTCAGTTTTTATATTTTTAGTAGAGACAGGGTCTTGCTTTTGCTCAGGCTGGTTTTGAACCCATAAGCTCAAGCAATACACCTGCCTTGGCCTCCTAGAGTGCTAGGATTATAGGCATGAGCCATCATGCCCAGCCAACAAAACCTTGCTCTATTTTTTTTAAAGGCCCTATTCATGGCTCGGTGCCTGTGGCTCAAGTGGCTAAGGTGCCAGCCATATATACCTGAGCCAGTGGTTTCGAATCCAGCCCAGGCCTGCCAAACAACAATGCTGGCTGCAACCAAAATAGCCAGGCATTGTGGTGGGCATCTGTAGTCTGCCAGACTTGGAAGGCTGAGGCAGGAGAATCACTTGAACCCAGGAGTTGGAGGTTGCTATGAGCTGTGATGCAACAGCACTCTACTGAGGGCAACAGCTTTAGGCTCTGTCTCAAAAAAAAAAAAAAAAAAGCTCCTATTCATTATTTGTATGCTTAATTTATATCATTAAAGCAGTTTTTAACTGTATAAATTATTAACATGTGTTCTAGGTTCTCTTCCTTTTGGGGGCATTTGGTTTTAGGGATCACCATAAATAGAAAATTCCAAGAACCTTTATTATGCATACTAAGTCGTACAGGCAGATATTCTTCTGTGTAAATTCTCCAATTCTCCATTTTTTTTCCAGTCCTTTTTCAGTTCTTCTAATTATTATGGTAAGTATTTTCTCTACTCTGTGAATATAAGACTGGACTTAGATCTAGGCAAATACCAGGGAATAAGATGTGATTATAGCCACAAATCTATATATTTCTAGTATATACATATATTTGTGGTTACTTCTTTTTTTTTTTTTGAGACAGGGCCTCAAGCTGCCCCCCTGGGTAGAGTGCCGTGGCATTACAGCTCAAGCACTCTCCATCTCCTGGGCTCAAGCGAGTCTCCTGCCTCGCCTCCCAAGTAGCGGGGACCACAGGCACCCGCCACAATGCCCGGCTATTTTTTTTTGGTTGCAGCCGTCATTGTTGTTTTCGGCAGGTCCGGGGCTGGGGATTCGAACCCGCCACCTTAGGTGTACGTGGCTTGCGCCTTAGCCAGTTGAGCTGTAGGCACCGAGCCATGGTTACTTCTTAATTGTGCTAGTATGTTTGCTCCATGTTATAACTGAGGAGTAGTATAATATCAGTAGAAATGATGTGGTTACAGTGTCATACTAGAGATCCCAATACCTCTTGCCTGTATTTTAACTATACAGATTATGGTTTAGGGGTCCTCAGCAAAAAGAGGGTAATTCCAGAGCCTCTTTTTCCTTTTGCAAAAGCGTTTAGATATGCTGGTAGCTCATGTTGATCACAACCCTTGTGACTCATGATGTGATTTTGAGCTTGGCTCCCCTTACTTGAGTAATAGGCAGGTTGATGGAGGTAGGATAAAATGACAATAAGGAAAACCAGAGGCTGTATGGATCAGGGTATAATACTGGCAAGTCAAATATCAAAATTCCAACAGACAATTCAGGGTTCACATTCAGATAGTAGAGCCTGTTGAAAGCAAGAACTTTCCATGTACTCTTTAATGATACACTGGGAGGATTCAATACCTCACTCAGATCTGATACAGTTCGTGGTATTAGATATGTGGTACATAAAAGTTAAAAATATGTGTATTGTTTTCAAGTTTTGAAGTTTATAATTAGCAAGTACTGATTGATAAATCTAATTTTTAAATGTTTTATTTTATTATTTTTTGAGACAAGGTCTTGCTCTGTTGGCTCAACTTAAGAGTACAGTGGTATCATCATAGCTCACTGCAACATCAGACTCCTAGGCTCAAGCAATCTTGCCTCAGCCTCCTGAGTAGCTAGGAATACAGGTGTGTGCCATCACACCCAACTAATTTTCCTATTTAAAAAAAAATGGGGTCTTGATATGTTGTCAGGCTGGTCTTGACCTCCTGGACTCAAGCAATCCTTCTACTTCAGCCTCTCAGTGTGCTGGGATTGTAGGCATGAGTACCTGGTCTTTACAATTTTAGAATAATAGAATGTTAGATGTAAGTCATTTTGAGGATTATAGGCTTTGTAGTCTCTTCATGATACATATAAGGAAATTAAGATCCATAGAACTAGGAAGTTAAGACTTCCCCCTATGGTAATACAGATAATTAGTAATGGAATTGGAGCTACAAATCTATGGCTTTCTGTCCTTGTGTTCTTTTCATTCTGGGGTGATGCTACTCCTTGTAAACATTAGTTATAAATAGAAGACTGTTGGCAAAGTGATTGCATTTTAGGTAAAACAAACAGTATCCAATTGGCCTATGAAGTTTGCCAGTCTTATTTGATCTCTGGTTTTTCTCTTATATCTCATTTTATTTGTTCTTGTTTATATGAAATGACCAAGTAGCTAACTATTCATGCCAGTGCAGGACAAGGAATAAACCAATAGAAATCCACACATGCAGTAGTTACCAAATTTTAAACCAATAACAAGTGCAAGGGGGGCATCTCCTTCATCCTGCCCCCAGGTTTTCACTAGAAAGTTTAAGAGAATTCAGAGTGAAGTTTGTATAATATAGGAGAAAATTTGCAGAAAAAAAAATATGACTTGAGAAATGAGAGAAGATTAGCTCTGGGAACCTTTCTGATGAGTAAAAAAAAAAATCAACGATATTTTCACTAAGAGAAAGAAAGATTAAGGGAGAGTCTGAAGGGCAATGGAAATCTTTTAGGGACAAAATCTTTCGGTGGTAGGTATTTGTGAGAATATATCAAAAAAGACAATAAATTGAACCCCAGGCTCATCCTGCCTAAATGAGGACATAGGGTTATTTAGCCAGCTGTAGTCAACCATGTAATTTATAATCCAAAACAGGACAATTTCTTTGTTGTTGTTTGTTTGTTTGTTTTTTTTTTTGAGACAGAGTCTCACTATGTTGCCCTCAGTAGAGTGTGGTGATGTCACAGCTCATAGCAACCTCAAACTCTTGAGTTTAAACGATTCTCTTGCCTCCGCCTCCAAAGTAGCTGGGACTACAGGTACCTGCCACAGCACTAGGCTATTTTGTTGTTTTTGTTATAGTTGTCATTATTGTTTAGCTGGCCCTGGCTGGGTTGAAACCCACCAGCCCTGGTGTATGTGGTCGGCGCCCTAACCATGGAGCTATAGGCGTTAAGCCAACCAGGACAATTTCAAAAGTAAGAGGGAGTTGCTTTTAATACTATCCTAAGACACAAAAGTAAACCAGGGGGTGTGGTTATCCTGGCCAGTAGCTACTCTGTAAAAGAATGGCTAATGCAGGCGGTGCCTGTGGCTCAAAGGAGTAGGGTGCCAGCCCCATATATCGGAGGTGGTGGGTTCAAACCCAGCCCTTGCCAAAAAAAAAAAAAAGAAAGAAAGAAAGAAAATAAATGGCTAATTCTTGCTTTCTTCTGGGACTAGTTCTATAGTGGCCCCTTCTGGCCGTTTGGTTAATATACTAGCCTGCGTTTGCCAGAGACTTGAGATTAAGTCATAGGTAATTGAGATATTGGGAGGCTACGGAAACACAGAAAAGGACAAGGGGCATGTCTAGGGTTGGCCCAAGAAAGGGTTCAGTGACATACTTAGCTTAATGTGGGATGATTCTGTGCTGGCAAATAGTAAAGAAACAACAACAAAATATTCTTAATTATTATATTCTATCTTTTGCCTTTTAGGATCAAATAAATTGAGACCATAGCCCCTCTGGACTTGCTTAAGAAAAATGGAAGTATGTTGCTTCATAGTCATGATGTCTAGGATATAGAATAGGGATTATACTACTTAGATTTTGATTTTTTGTTTGTTTATTTGCTTATTTTTTGAGATGGAGTCTCACTTTGTTGCCCCCGGTAGCGTGCCCTGGCGTCATAGCTCATAGCAACCTCCAACTCTTAGGCTCAAGCGATTCTCTTGCTTCAGCCTCCCAAGTAGGTGGGACTACAGGCACCTGCCACAGTGCCCAGCTATTTTTAGAGATGGGGGTCTCCCTCTGGCTCAGGCTGGTCTTGAACTTGTGAGCTCAGGCAGTCCACCCTCTTTGGCTTCCCAAAGTGCTGGGATTACAGGCATGAGCCACTGTGCCCAGCCTGCTTTGTCTTATAGATGAGAAAACTGAGGTTTAAGGAGGTTAAGGTCACAAAGGAAGCTTATTGGTGAACTTGAGCTATAACCTCTCTGACTCTTAAATCTATTATATTATTTCTCAGTTTTTCTTATGTTGATATATTTATTTTACTTTAAAATTTTATTTCATGTATTATAAAATCCATACATTCCCATGGTTAAATACCTATAAAGTACAAAAAGGTAGAAGGTGAAAAAGTCTTCCTCTCAACTCCTGTCTCACAGCTACCTGATACCCTTTTTTAAAGCATTTGGTATTACCAATTTCTTGTGGATAGCTAAGGAAATAGTTTATATCTCTTCCCATCTTTTAGTAGGTATGTTATGATATATTTAGTCTTCCACTGAAATTTAGTTGGTTTTCAAACTGTTCTATTACAAAGAATACTGCAGTGAATAACATGCATCTTTACCAGTATATCTGTGAGATAAATTCCTAGAACTGAAATAGCTGGGTATTTGGTATTTGTATTTTGATAGATACTACCTAATTTCCTTTCTTTAAAGTTGCTGATATTCCTATTAGCACTGTATGATTTCTCAGTTTAAAAGCTACTTGCTTGTGAATAAAGCTATTTGAAAAAAAAAAGTCTATAAACTTCCTGAGAACCAATTTCTTCCTCCTTGGTTCACTTGCCTTAAGACAAGAAGGAGGTATGTCTTATCCCCATACTCTATATAGTATATCTGATGAGGCTCTGGCCCTTCTTTCCCCTTCTTTCCCAGAATGGTATAGATGGTGCCTACTGCTGCTATAGTGAAATAGCTCTTCCTTTATTCACCTGGACTCCTTAGATTTATCATTGAAGCATGATGAACTGTTATGTTAATTTCATCCTCAATGTATTTATTTGGGTTTGGAATTTTAGTCTTACACGTTATGAGCTCATTTCCTGTACTAAAATAAGTTGACAGTCAGTTCTCTATTGTTCTCACTGATAGAGATGAGAAGAGAAAAAGCTGTAATGAAAAGTCCTGAAGTATTTATATTTAATTTTTCAATATTTAATATATTACCCTCTACTGAGAAAGTATATCATGCTCACTGTAAAGAAGAAATGCTTTAAAGAGTTGTGTTTTAACAGAGCAGGTATTGAAGGGTGACTCTGAAGCTGAGAAGCAATAAATTGATAATTGGTCTACTTAGGTACTTATACTCCCTATTTTTCAATCTCACCCTCTGGATTACTACCTTGCTTTCTGGGCAATAGTAGGGAGTTTTTTGTTTTTGTTTTTTTTCAAAGCAAAGCATTGTATTGTTGGTAATCAAGGCAGCCTGACAATGAGAAAGCAAACAACCAGAGTGGAGTTTGACTATACTCTATTAAATATAACTGAAGCTGGGTACAGTGGCTCACGCCTATAATCCTAGCACTCTGGGAGGCCAAGGTGGGTGAATTGCTTGAGCTCAGGAGTTCAAAACTGGCCAGAGCAAGAGCAAGACCCTGTAAACTACTAAAACTAGAAAAATTAGCTGGGTGTGGTGGCGCATGCCCTGTAGTCCCAGCTACATGAGAGGCTGAGCAAGAGGCTGAGGCAAAAGGATCATTTGAGCCTAGGAAGTTTGAGGTTGCTGTGAGCTATGATGCAACAACACTCAGCTTAGGGCAACATAGTGAGACTCTGTCTCAAAAAAAAAAAAAAAATCTGAAAAATCATAAACTGAAGGTGAGGATTTTGAAGTTCAAAATCTCTGTGAAAACCCAGAGAGTATCTTAAGAGGGCTATGCAGTGAAGGAAAAAAATCACACAGTGCAATTTCCATTTGTCAAATATAAGATATTGAATAAATATATTTCTCTGATAAATTCTCTTTTTTCCTTTCTTTTTTCAAATGTGATGCATTTTTTGATTTGGATTTAGGTGAGCGGCCTGTGAGAGTTTATGCAGATGGAATATTTGACTTATTTCACTCTGGTCATGCCCGGGCTCTGATGCAAGCAAAGAACCTTTTCCCCAATACATATCTCATTGTGGGAGGTAAGAAAACATCTGAAATACTGTGCAGAAAAAGATTATAGAAGTCTTTTTTTCTCGCCTATCTTTATAATTTAAATATATTGTTTCAGTTTTTAAGTGAAGGATGTAGTATAGCCTCTTTAAAATATAAACTATGTAAGATAGGAGCAACCTACATCTGGAGAGAGGAGCTATAAGATCAGTGACTGGTGATGTCCAATATTTATCTCACATTTTTCAGCTGAGTTCCTGCAGTCTTGGAAGCATCAATGACTGCTGCCTACTTAAGAAGAACATTTGCTCTAGATTTCAGTTTATCATTTTGAATCAATTGAAGTACAAAAGTCTGCCAAGCAAATGTTATGTGTTCCAGTCCAATCTTATTAAAATAATTAAGAAAATATATTTTAAAACTTAATTAAAGCAGAAATGCACAGGCACAGTAGGTTCACTGCAGAGTCAAAGGTCTTAGTCCCCTTTTGAATTCTCTCTTCTCCAAAGTGTGAATATACTTAATATTTAGTGAGTGTTGCTCCTGAAGTTATGTTGTGGGTTAGGAAAAGCATTGTTACCCATACTGAACTATATCCAGAAGATTTTTCTCAAAAGGAAGGATGGTCGTAATTCTAGGAAATGGGATATGATGGGAGAGGCTGTTGACTGAGGAATGGTTAAGCAAAGGTGACCTTGACTTAACCCTTTATGATGTGGTGAACTCAGTCTGCAGTGATGAGCTAACTCACAACTTCAAAGGCTTCACGGTGATGAATGAAAATGAGCGCTATGATGCAGTGCAGCACTGCCGCTATGTGGATGAGGTGGTGAGGAATGCCCCCTGGACCCTGACACCTGAGTTCCTGGCAGAACACCAGGTAAGAACTGGGCATAAATCCCCATTCCTTGCTTCAGAACCCTTTCAATTCTCAAGGCTTCTGGAACTTGGCCTAGTTTTCCACTAGCCCTCTTTATTTCTGCCTTTTATGTAAGTGTCATATGGAGGAGATGACAGCAATATTATTAATAGTAATAGTCATTCCTGACATTTATATGGAGTTTGATGATTTATAAGCACTTTCACATCCTTTATATTCTATTTTCTCCCACAACAATCCTGTGGAGTACTTATTTCCACTTTACATATAAGGAACCAGGCCTAGAGAGACCTAGAGAACTGGCTCCAAGTTACACCATTAGCAGGGCTAAGAATTGAACAACCCTTCCATTATGTGATATTTCCCTCCCATACGATAAGTGTGTCTATCCTTATAGCATGCTAGTTTTCTTTAGAATATCCATAGCCCCAAGCTATGCTGTCCAGAAGTTCACATTCCAGGAAACAAGACAGATTAACATAGACTTCCCTAGCATTGACTTAAATTTAGTTTCAGCATTTTGATTTTGAGCTAGAAATTACAGTGGGCAAGAAACTAACGATGTTTCTCACATTTACTCAGTGAGTTATTATAATAAATAATATAAATATAAACCCTTTATCTCCTTTTAATTCTCCCATGTTAAAGCAATAGGTTTTCTTTTTTTTCTTTTTTTGAGACAGAGCCTCAAGCTGTCCCCCTGGGTAGAGTGCCATCACACTCACAGCAACCTCTAACTCCTGGGCTCAAGCGAGTCTCCTGCCTCTGCCTCCCAAGTAGCTGGGACCACAGGCGCCCACCACAATGCCTGGCTATTTTTTGGTTGCAGCC